GCCTGGCCCAGGAGGCCTGGGCAGCTGCGGTGGGCCGGCGCCGGGCCAGCAGGGGCCGCGGAGCCCAGGAAGTGCCCCGCGATAACGGGGATGACACGGGGCTCGTACCCTAACCCCGTTGCCTACAGTCGTGTGACCTTGGGCAGGTCACCACGGCACCCTATTTCCTCCCAGCCTAGCTTTGTCACCCGTGCAGTGTGGGCGAGAGTAGAACTTGCCTCACAGGGTTGTTGTGAGGATTAGATGCAGTGATCTGTGGAAAGCGCTTTGCACACACGTTGTAACCACCTAGTGAACCGTCTGGGATGTGGTAGGTGGTTCCATCCGCGTTGCTCGCTCCCCAATTGTCGGAGTCCCACAGGTCCCTGCGCTGTTCTAGGCAAAGCATTTGACGTGTATGACCGCATTCAATCCCCACAGCAGACACGCGGAGACAGTGCGCCCGGGTTACCTGGCTGGGTAGTAATGGGGTCAGCTTCTGACTCTGAGATCCGTACTCCTAACGGTGCTCTAGTATCTCCCACGAGAGGGGCTGTGTGCTGTGAATGTGCAGTTATGGATGGCTTCCTGCAAGCCAAGTAAGGGTTTTGATATTTAATTCTCAAGACACAGGAGGTAGGTACTACTTTTTATTTTATAGATGTGGAATTGGCAGCTCAGAGACAGCAGTTTGATTTGCTAAAGGTTAGAGCAATTAAGTAGCAGAAATGTGAGATTTTAAACTTACCTTGAGTCTGCCGTTCTCTGATGCTTGACAGTAGGTTGGCATTGCTCCTGCCTAAAGTGCTAGCTTCAGGTACTGCAGGTGATCAGGTTGGAAAGGTAAGATACATCTGCTGATGACATATGTAAGCACCTGCATGAGCCAGTTGCTACAACAGGAGCTTCCGAGAGTGTAAAAATGAATGACGTTTGTTCCCTTTCATGATCCTTCCAAAGGATGGCAGAAATGTAAATAAGCAAATCATGATGGGTCTCATGATGCAGTTAGAAGAGAGCTTTGGGAACCCAGAGGAGGAGTCCAAGTTAGACTTTGGAGGTGGTTGCCAGACCAGGCTTGCAAGAAGCAGCAGAGACTTGAAGGTAGCCTAGGAGTTGGCCAGGTCACTAGAAAGAAGATATACCAAGTGTAGCCAGAGATGATATGTGTAAAACACCTAGAAGCTAGTGAAGATACAAAGATGCCTGGTATGGCTGGAGTGAGGGATACAGGCTGGAGATACAGGGACCATTGAAAGTCTGTACTGTGGGACCAGCAGATGGCATAAAGACAGAAAGAAAGTGAGAACCCTCCCCACCCCACACCAGGGATGGCCTTCGCCATAAGTTGCTGGATCTGGGACTCAAACCACAGTCCACTAAGTGGGAGTCCAGCAATGTAACCGTTGCGCCATCTGCAGGTCTCACCATTGTGCCATTTTTTACATCCAAGTGGGAGAGGGTCTGGTTGGAAGTCTGAAGGCAGTAATGTGAGACTCTTAGAGGATGGAAGCAGTCTATGATCAGGCATCTGGCACCCACATTAAGTGCTTTTGCTTTTGAGGGAACTCTAAAGGAAGATGTCCTTAGACAGTGGTTTTTGCAGTGTTAGAAGGCAGCGTCACAAGGTGCCAGGCACACAAGCTTTGCAGTCATGCAGACCTTCATTAGATTCGGGCTCTGCTACTTGCTGGCTGTAGGAATGTAGGTAAATTCCCCAGCCTCTCGTAGTCTATTTCTTCATCTCTGAAGGGTGATAGTAATGGCGTCCGTTTCCTATGTTGCAGAGGATTGCTGTGAAGATGAGATGAGTTAATACATTTAAAGCCCTTTCAGTTGTTCCTGGCACAAGGTTATTTTTTCAGGGCTTTCCCTCTCTACTCCTTTGTTTTGAAAATAGATTGCCTTGGGTCCAGCAGGTGGTGTGGTGGTTAAGGGTGCTGGACTCCCACATGGCCAACTGTGGTTCAGGTCTCAAATCTGGTGGCTTCTTCCCCCCACCCCATCTCTCTCTGGTCAAATTATAAAAGAATAATAATGAATAAAGTTAAATAAAACGATTATTTAAAAAATAAAATAGATTGCCTGGATTTGCATCTTATCTCAGGTACTCCTTTGTGTGATCTTGGGCAAGTTGCCTCAGTTTTTTTACCTGTAAAATAGATCTTATTTTGCAGCAATTATTAATTTAATTTAATTTATTATTATTATTATTTTAAAATTTGCTGTAGGGCACGACCAGAGAGAGAGAGAGAGAGAGTAAGAGAGAGTGAGAAAGCAAGCCTCCAGGTCCAGGACTTGAACCAGTGTCAACCACTTGGGAGCCCAGTACCCCAACCACCACATCACCTGCTGGCCCCAAAATAAAGATATTATTAATTAAGAGTACCTACTTCATGAGCTTTTCTGAGGAATAAATGAATTGCAGGTTGGTTATCCATTGTCTGAAATTCTTAGGACCAGAGTGTTTTGGAGAGATTTTCTTTTTGCTATAGGGAGTGTGCGCTTGCCAGAAAGACGGAGAGACAGACAGAAAGTGAGAAATCATCCCCCCCACCCCCGGAGGATGACCACACCACAATCCCTTCTCCTCCTTTCTCCTCTCAGGATCTTGGGCATGCACACATATGTGCCTGGTGTGAGTTTAAGCCACTGGGTCCAGGACTCGAACTTGTGGTCAACTACATGCGAGTCCAGCGACATAGCTATTATGCCAACTGCTGGTCCCTAGAGTGTTTTGGATTTTGGATATACATATGAGATACATATAAGGAGATACTTTGGGGATAGGACCCAAGTTTAAATGCACAATTCATTCTGTGTTTCATATGCACCTTATACATGTAGTCTGAAGGTAATTTTATACAGTATTTTTATTTATTATTTTTTCAAAATTTTATTTACTCATTCATTC